ATTCACAATAAGGAATTTGTATATCGTGGGATAGATTCTAAATTTTGAATAATCGTCATTGTAAAGACAGAACATATAACTAAGTCTTTCTTTATGGATTTTTAAGTCATGTATTTGTTTTTTAAGGAGAAGAACCTTATATTTTGATGACGAACTATAAGAAAGCCTTTTTGTTGGGTTCTGGGAACTGTATGCACCGATTTAGAATAGTACGTATAGGTGTTATTTTCCTAGTTCTGATTACGTACTACGTACTGTTACCGTTTTCAGCACATATTTATTTCATATTCTCTTTTAATTAAATCACGATTTTCTCCCTTAAATATTTTATTTCATATTCTCTTTTAATTAAATCACGATTTTCTCCCTTAAATATTTTTATTAATTTATCTTATATCTATTTCTTTTTATTACGATCTCTCTTAGATAAAACTCTTAATTATATCTTCATACTTTCTCAAACAATGCTTTTTATTTTCCACTGAATCGTATTGTTACGTGGATTTTGTGTTTAGGAAGGATTTTCCTATAAACGGCAGTTTTTGGGAGAGCAAGAGTTTTAGATGATAATTATTATTACCTGTGCGGATATTGTATTTGACGTTGGACTTTGCGTAAGTGTATGTTAAAATGTTTTCTTTATTTAATAACTTCTAAATTTAATTGAGTTTTCTATTAACTATAGTTATTACGCATTTCTTTACCAAGATCGATTACCGTTGTCGATCTTCTAAACGTTGCCTTTTCTGGAACCATCAGTTAATTCAATTAATTATTACAAGGGGATTTTACAAGTCTTATTTTACTTGGATTCATTTTGACTAAACAAATTGAATAATATATATTATTTTTAAATTGAATTACTGATAATTAAGTTATTATATTCTAAATTGATTAATTCATTTTTCTAATAATCAATTTATAATAAAAAATCAATTAACAATAAAAAATCAATTTACAAATATGAATTAATCACTTTAGAACATAATATTTTGACATCTAGAAACCTAATTTAAATAAAAACACTACTATTTGATTTGTTTAATCTAGAAAAATCAAATAGTAGTATTTTTGCTTAAATCAAATTTCTGAATATCAAGATATTATGTCCTAAAGTTATTAATTATTGTATTTGAAGCATGAAAATATAATACTTGATATAGAAGCTTTATCAATTTATAAAAGATATTATAATCAATATTTGTAATAATTTTTATGCTCAGAAACTTCAGAACATTATACATAATTTATAAAAAGTTATGAAGATCTGTTACTTTTAATGAATATTATAATAATTTATATTTTGTCATTTATTAAGTTATATTAACTATTTAAACTAAAATATTATTAAACTATTATATTTCTTTAATCAGATTTAAATATTGATATAAAAAAGTTTATATTATCTTTTTTTTAGAATATAACTATAATCATTATCTCAAAATGAGGTTCATTGCTCCAAATAATAAAATTCTATTTAGAATTTTAATATAATCTTCTATTTATTCATATAAGACAAGTTTTTTAGTTTTTTCACTAATGAATAGTTTTTTTACCAATTCAGACAAAAAATCTTCATTATCATTTTCAACAAAAATTTTATAATTCAATAATTTTATAATATTATAAATTATGATCTATTATAATTTTATTCAATGATATTTCATATTAATTTAATACTTTTTGATATTATACAAGCAAGTTTTGTATTTATTTGATATTATACAGTCAAATTTGTTATAAATATTACATTCATTTTAATTAATAATTAAATTAATTATTAATAAATTATATTTTTTATATACTTTAATATTTATTTTTATTTTCTCTCTATTCTTTACTTTTTATTTTTCTTCTCTTATTGTTATTAATATATCTTATTTTTAACAAAAATATTCTTAAATTGAATTCATTATCTTTAATTAATTTTATATATATATTTTTATTCTCATTACTATTTTTATTTTTATCTTTAATATTATTATTTCTTATAAATTTATTTCATATTATTTAATTTTTTTTAGAATTTTTCTTTTTATAATTTCTTTTAGCTTTAATCACTTAAATATATATTAATTTTATTTTGTATTTTCTTTTCTCTTATCTTATTATTCAATATTATCTATAAATAGTAATATAATTTAAAATTATTATTAATTATATAAATCAAAGTAACTATTTAAAATATATAAAAGAAGAGTCTCTCATTACTAGAAACTCTCATGCTTTGATCTAATAAAAATAACAAAGTTCTTTCTTGTAATATTATACTTGTAAATATATTATTACTTTCTTAATTATCTTCAAATCTTGACTTCAAGTAGTGAATGCTCCTCCATTCTAAATAAGTTGTTTAACTTTAATATTTTTATTTATTTTAATTTTATTATTTTAGATCATATCAATAAGTTCTGTTATTTTATTTTTTTTTATTGATAGTTTCAATAAGTTCAATTAATCTTTTTATTTCATTAAGCAGTTTTAATAAGTCCTATTATTTTCTTTAATATTTATTTTATTTTAATTTATTATATTTTTTTCTTTAATTTTTCTTTTTGCTCCTATGTTTATTTTTGATAATAAGTTAGTTTGTATACAAGCTATCATAAAAGATCTTTAAAATCTTTAGTGAACTCTATTAATTATAAATTATTGTTAGCCAGAAATGAAAATATATTTCATGCTAATTACTAAATAGTAATATATATATAAATCATAAAAATTGTTTTTAATATTAAAAAAATCATACTGATATATATTAATTTTTGTATTAATCAATTTTCTTTTCTGGTGAAAACTAATACTTATTTCATTTTTTTCTAGACAATATTTATAAATTATTCAGTCTTTGTTTTTTTTTACTGTTATGTTACTTCATTAATTCATTAATTATAATATTTCTTGAATTAATAAGAATAATATAGTGCATATAGAAACTTTAGTGAATGTAAATTACAAAAATTCATTTTGAAAATATTTAAAGTAACTTTTCTATCTTTTTTGATAATGCAAAATAAATATTGCATATTATGTTTAGTTAAGCAGAAGATTTTATTTCTTCAGAATTATTATAATATGTAATTATATCTTGAATTATTGTTTTTGCAAATCCAAGTTTTTTTTATAATAGTAAAAATAGATACATTATACCAACAAGCATCAACGATTCACTTTCTGATAGTTATTTTCATTTTTTTTATTATGAAGCAATTACCAACAAAAATAAAAAAACTATTGACATATTTATAAAATATAAATTAAAGATAAATCAAAGAATAATTTAACAATTTATCTAATGATAATTTTCTTAATTTATATATATCGACATGTATCAAATAAAATATAGACAAACCTCTTCGCAAAGTCACACTATTTTAATTTGACTCAAAACTTGATCCCTCGACCACCATTACTTTTGTTGGTGACTGTATGTATTATGCCATTTTTATGATATATATTTTGGTTCAGTCCCATCAGTCTGAGACCACAGCTCTAAAGACTGATGGTCTTTTAGATAGTCAGAATGAACGGAGCATGTGACCAGTTTATCTTTATACAGAAATATAACGATAATCGATATCTTCTGGCGATAGTTTTGAAATCGTCATTGCAGTAAAAGATCTTACTAGTCCAATTTTATCCGTTCCAATGCAACTAAAAATGTCATATATCTTCATGGCACTTTCTTTTTTCTCTTTCGAAAAGCAGTTTCAGAAACACCAGAGAGTTGTTTTATTGCTTCATCATTAACCTTTGCCTTAGCTACACGTTTCGGGCATGATAACTTATAGTGATCAAAGCGCAGTGTCATTTGCTCTCCGAAGTGGTAGTAGCTCCTAATAACCTCTTGATTCGATTGAAGGCCAAGAAAAGTGAAACACGACGCATTGTGAATTTTATTAATAGAAAACAAAAAAAATTCGAAATTATGGTGTTACAATGATAATCGGGAAAGTGAAAGAAATTCGAATACTGGAAGAATAACGGCACTACTGCAAAGTTGTTTATATAAGGAATACAAAGGCACACAATAGAATCTGCTGTCTGAACAATAGACTTGTTGTTTGAGATGTTTCAAGACTTTCCCATATACAGACAATACACACCCCTCAGACGAGACTAGGTAAACATTTCTCTTATTTTACGTTAATGTATTAGTGCGACTACACTCGCAAGAGAGATAAAATTAACATAACCAAGTACATAATCTTCATGATCTTTTCCAGAATGGAAGTGGCGTCTGATTAGCGTTAGTTGCAATATGCATGTACCTAAACGACTTATTTATGCATATTAGAATGCAAGCCAGTTATGTGCACAAAAACAAATATCACACAATATCTTTCATCCCCTTTTCTTTATAGTAAGTAAAAAAAAAAGTAAAAAGCCTCTTTTAGTGGGAGGTAGTTAAATTGATAAATCTTTTTCTTAACAATTCATATTTGTATATGTTGCTCGCGACATGGGGTAACAAGTAATAGTAAAGTAGCGCAATGTCAATAATCTTGGTGTTCGAAAAAGTCCGATTACAAGACCAGAGAATTGTGATTGTTTACGTCGTTCCCACGATTTTTCCGGCAACTGTGCCATGACACTAATGATAATGTAGATCGTATCTTGTAAAACAGAACTTATGACAAACAATAAACGCTTTTATGAAGTCATAATTCATGACAACGTTACATAAATACGGTCTAAGCGTGAACGGGTCACACAAAGTAGTTGTTTCACGTTGGTGAGAGAAGTATTTATATCTGCAAGTCTCAGTCCAAACGTCGCCAACTGTTCGCGAACATGTCATCAAAATTCTTCAAAATTATTCTTCTTGTCCTCGCGCTTTTCAGCTTGATAAATGTCGCTTCGGCGTACCAGTGCGAGGGGGACAGAAATTCCTGCACCCTTTGCGTCAACTGTTGTGACGCTCTTTGCAAGCAAGCTTGTAAAAAGTTGGATGGTGGTTATTGTCGTTGGGGATGGACTGGACCTAAGTGTCACTGTAGATAGGGTCAGTAATGAAGTCAAATTTTGGTCGAGTAAATAACGTAAACAAACAGCTGCTTATATCTTGCAAACAAACTAACGTCTTAACACATGCGCTTTGTATAGGTGAATGAAAGCTTCTGGGAAAATAAAAGCAGAAAGCTATCACATCTTGGTAAATGGAAACAGCGACCGGTGGATAAGCAAAAAATATTATATACATGTAAAACGATAAGCAAGTTTTTGTAATTGGTAGATACAGGGGTGACAAAAATATTGAATATTTATAAATAAATGATTATTTGCCATATTTAGTTAAATAATCGACAAAACATATATAAAAATGGCAATACATACAAATTACATGCATCAAACTAGTTGGAAGAGTTACATTAGCGTTAGGATTAAAAAACCAAATTCTTTAATGATTTTCGCATCTTACCGCACGAAATGGGACTTGCAAAAGACATTACTCCAGAGCAAAAAAACAAGCATTTTTTCATGTCGAAAATTAAATGCTACACAACAAGAAATTTCTAATGGAAGAGAAAGAAGTAACCCATTATGTCAAGCATTTTTATGTCACCGCTATTTCTTACCGATAATGGTAAAAAACCCATTTATTTGGATTTACGATAATGCTCTTTTTATGATAAAATCACATACATGCGTTTCTATATGCAATGCTTGTGAGCCTACTCGTACGAAAAGTCTATACTTGAGAGTGCAACTATTTGAATCATGATAATTTGAGTACAATGTTACAAAAATTTGGAAATCACTGATTAAGGAAATTCTCATTGTCAGAATATAAGAATCTGACTCTATGTTTTGTATGAAGATATTTTCTTCCAAATTCTTTGTTTCTTTCTAGAAGTTTCCTAAATTATACCTTTCCATAATCATTTTATTATAAACATGTGTCTTTTATCTTAGTCACCTCTTTATGAAATCGCTTTTTTTGTCATAGGATACTGACATGTATATTATTATTATTATCGATAATCTTTTATGTGCCGAAGATAACGATATGCAATCAATCACTGTATACGTATACCGTTATGTTAAAATAGTTACAAAACGAATATTAACGTTAAATCATAAGTACATGTATCAAGAATAGTGATGGAAGACGCAACTCTCTGATTGGCTATCGCTAATGATTCGGGCTAAAGTACTTTTCAAAATCCTAAATATTTCGGACTTGTCCTAAATGTCCTAAATCCTAATTTAGAAATTTTTTGCAGATCTTTTGGTGCTAAATACTTTAGCCCGAAATCACTAGCTATCGCACCATCTTTAATTGTTAAATACATGTATGTATCGGTATGGATATGATCGTACTTTTTTACATGACTTAATTAACGTTTCCTTCGACTGCTCACTACTGTACGTTAATTCTGGATATAATCTTGCATCCATATCAGAAATTAATAAAGATACGTAATACAATATTAGCAAATAAATTTTATGACTAGAAATTTTTTTGAAGAACGTACTTATTGTACGTATACAAAAGGGACAATTACCCCATTAGCGTAGTGTGCATGACGTATGTAAATCCCTAAATTTTAGGTTTGAAAATCAATTTGGCTATTGGGGGGAGCGTTACGTTTCCTATTGTTGATTCATAGTTTGGGTAAGTGGCGATTTATCTTTGTTAGATGTCTTAACGATGGAAGCAAAGGAATGATCACATGATGCAAATGATATGTTCAATATCTATTTTTCAATAACCCCCTTTTTACGGTTTGTTATAAGAATACGGTTAGCGTAGTGATTAAAGAGAGAAAAGCATGTATGCGTGTTTTTACACGTCTTTTACATATATTAACTTCACAGAGAAAAACAAAGGAGAGAATAACGTGTTTTTTCTCTTCCCTCACTTCTTAGGCGTGAGTATATCGATATGTATAATAAATTTGAACTGTATTGTTCTAAAAATGTTGCATATGTTCCTGTTTTCGTTATTTTAATAACATGCGAACACAGTCAGTACACATATTATCGTTATCAGTCAATAGCGCAAGAGGTAACAGAAGAACACAGCCATACATATGCTAAAAAGGTAAATTTATTGTTATACGATGAGTTATATAACTTCAAAAATCTCTATAGTGACACCCATTTATGGTTACTGTCAGATTTTGACAAGATTTTTTTCAACAACCTCTATAACGAAAGGTAATACGTAGTGATACCCATTTAACTTAATTGGTATCACTACGTATTGTTATCCCTTTATAGATCTATGCATAAACAAGTAGAAAATATTAACATTAATATCTTTATTAATCTTTAATATTAAAAGTAATAAATTCTCAATAGGTGTCTTGCATAAAGATGGGATCGCAATTGGTTGCAACTCAGTCGCAATTCTCCGATTGGCTGCCACAATTAATTGAGACGTCATCTTTAGTCTTGCATAATCAAGCATACGTACAATTCAATCGAAGACCAAAGCATATCGATACGTATACGTATGCGTATTTGGTTTCATATAAACATTTATTTATATTATATATAGATACTTCTTTTTTTTTACTTGACATGTACGTTTGTTAATTCAATTAACTGGTATATTTTATTTCTGATAAACTCAAATCAAAATAAAATTTGGCTCTTTTTTTATGGGATAAAAATTTCAGAGAAGGATTAGGGTTAGGTTAAAGCATGTATAGCATTAAAATCTGTAATATATTAACCTATGGTGCATAACATCTAAAGTTATCAAACTTTGTATTTCACAAATGCATTTACTTCTTTACAAAGAAGTAAATGCAAAATTTAATCTGTAAATATAATAGAATAGGCCCTTTCTGAGCATATTTATGGATTAAATTTTGTGTTTACTTCTTAGTAAAGATCTTTATACATTTTATAAAACACAAACGTTTGATGACTTTAGATGTTATGCACCATATGATGATTTAAACATCCCACTCTGTTTCGTTTTAATCTGATTTCATTTTAATCCACCACAATTTATGATAATGTAAAAATTAAGGAATTACTGGATTTTTGTTGAAAATGGTAACATTACCGTTTAATTCGTGGTCCGTTTAACCAAGTTGTTTTACAAATTGTTCAAAACTTTCTTTTTCAAGATATCAACATTGGTAAATCTTTCAAAGGGATCCATTTGACCATTGCTTTATAAATTCGTATGTGATAATTGAACATTTCCAGTAGTTGACAGTAGTAAGTTCATTTTGGCAACACCAGCATTTATTCCTGAGAGCTTTGAGTTAGTAGTCATTGCATCCGAGATAGTTTTCATTATACATCCAACAAATGCCAATATTTTTTTTTTATTATAACATTCAAGAAATTAAAGAACATGACGATATATCAAATTTTACAGATTTTACAGTGCCATAAATTTTGTGCGATGAACAAATGCTATTGTTGCAAGTGGATCGTAATTAGGCGTAATCAACGATTTTACCTACAACAATTGAAGGGGGAGAAAGTGTATAGACTGATTTGTACTCGTTCGTTATCTAATTCCTGTGCCGATATCTACGGATATCGTCGGG